ACTTGGAACCCTCAATTCAGGAGGAATTTAAATGATTGGGAGGTGGCTTCTTTGGTCAGCTTGCTTCAGATTCTATACAACTCAGAGATAACTGGGGTAGGAGAGGATAAAAGGAAATGGCTCTTTGAGAAATAGGGTTCTTTCTCTGTGAAATCTACAAGATCCTAACTAAGGAAAATCTGGCTATAAGAGGCAGATATTGCTTGCACTTTATGCAATGGAAATGTGGAGCCTTCTAGCCATTTGCTGATACACTGTGAGTTTACTTACTGGGTTTGGGTAAGACTGTTGGACTTGTTTGGCGGTAAATTATGCTTCCCGTCTGATGTGAAGGGATACATAGGGGCTTGATTCTCAGGAGGTTTAAGTAGGGCTTGAAAGGTAGCATGGAGCATCCTCCCTGCAGCAGTCTTCTGAGCAGTGTGGTGTGAAAGAAATACTAGAATCATTGAAGGGAGTCAGACATCAAAGGAAGAGGTTCTTAACAGGATTCTGGGGATGGTTCATTCGTGGTTGGCAAGTCACCCTTTATTCAGAAACAGACATACTTTTTCTTTTTTATCTTGATCATTTTTGTAAGGAGCTTATAGTTTTCTCTTTGTTCAGGGGTTTGGCTGTATTGCGCATATGTACATCCTCTGTATAGCTCCTTATTGTACAGGGGATCTATTGTATTTTGACTTTTTGATTTTAGTGAATTACTTTACCTTACAGTTTCAAAAAAAAACTACTATCCAAAATACAAAATTGCCAAATATTCAAGAAAGAAAGAGCCACTTTAGACTCTTTGACTCCTGCATCAACAGATCAAACAATTGAGTAATGGTAGATTATAAATGCTTTACTTTGACATGTAGGGAAAAAAATGTAAAACTAGCAGTGAGAAATTAACCATTTGATCTTGCAAGTATGGGCATCAAGGGATGCAAGTTGTTCCAGTTGTGGAGAATTTGATTGCCCATATAACTCCGGGATTTGCCAAACAGCTGCTCCATATGACTCACCTTCAACAAAATATAGCACCACGAAAACCACCATTATACCATCTATGTTAACACTTAGAATCCAAAGAAAAAAAAATAAAAAATAGAGGAGGAAATTATATTTACAACAAACAAATTAGGCTGAAAATTCAAAAAGAAGTTATATTGTTAATTAAACCCCATGCGGCAGTGGAATATTATGGTTAGGAGAAAAAACTTTTCTTTCTCGTCAAAATGATTACTGCAATCTAGTTTACAGATGTAGATCAAGGTCTAAACACTCCTTTACACTTTTACTTTGAAGTTCAATCAAATCGTAGAGAAGATTTAGAAATTTCATAATTATACTTTCAAGATTTCAAGCCAGTGAGCCATTTTAAGAGGGTACTTAAAACACATTGTCTCCTGGTTAAGGTTCAGCAATCAGAATCACAAACCTTTCTTCTCTTTTTCTTTTTTGATGGATAAACCAGAGCCATTAATATTGAGGTGCATATTGTGAAAAATGACATCTGGAATAAAAGGCAATGTTTGTATAAATCAAAAGGGGCATCCACAGTTCGACACAGCTTATAATAAAGTTGGGGATCATTAGCTCCTACGCTATTACAAGGCCACAAGCATTATCTGAAATTCTTCAGAATCAAACGAAAACGAATGTTCAAATGCCAACTCCAACAAAATCCCAAATATAGATGTTGCATCCCAGGAATGCATCCGGGAGAGATTTCCCGAATACGCCAGTAGTGACATGAACTAATACACCTAAAACCACATAAGGGAGCCATCGACCTCTATATAGCCCTAATCTGCTAAATTTGAATAGTACCATATAGTAGTTCATGCAATTACTTCAGGTGTCGGCCATGGAAAAGATCAAAAATAACCCCGGTTCACATAACACATTAAAATATGGGACACATGATATCGCAAGAAAGACTTCAATTGCTTACCAGATGAGAAAACGGTGGAGAAGATTCGGGGATTGTAGGGGCAGGAGGAGAGATCCCAGATCTCGTTAGGATGAGAAAACAAACCCTCGCAAATGAGCTCAGTTCCAGCCGAAGAAAGCCTGATCAAATGGACCTGTAATTTCACAAAGAACACAGACAGAAAAATAAATTATGCTAAATAAATTCTAATCTAAAGGAATTGAAAATGGATCTTGGCGGTAACTTAGTGAAAATGTGTCAAATTGCGGGGAAACGACGGGAAAACAAAAATACCTCGTTTTCCTCCTTGAGGCTGAGAGTACCGGCAATGAAGCTGGTGTGATCTGTATCTGCCTTGACATCTACAATGCATCTGGCCTGGAATAATTGTAGAAAAAAAGTAGTAGGGTTTAAGAGGAGCAAACCATTAATATTCAATAATGGTTCCTGAGAGTGAGAGATAAAATCATAAAACTGTTAGGGTTTTCGGATCACCTGGTATTTGAGACCATAACCGACGCCCGTTGATCCTCCCTGCATTCCTCAACAATGGCCTTTACCTTCCTTAGTTTAATTTCGCTCCTTTTGAAAAATGGATGGAATGCTCTTTTCAACTGTGGATGTTTAAAACCACGTTTTCTACCCAAAAAGGGATAAAAAACTTGCAACGTTTTTAAAAAAGAGTATTGCGACTCTTTTATCCTTCATTTTATTTTAAATTTTCAAAATCTACCGATCTCTCCTTCTGTGTCAACAGTTGAGTATAAAACCTGATTGACAAGGAAAAGGGAATCTCTCTCTAGCACAGGAAGGCCATTTCAAGGCAGATCACGTAAATACCCTAGTTTCATACTGGTTTTCTCATTCAATCCCCCCGAAAAAAAAATGTGTTGGGGAGGAGGGGGGCAGAAACCTTAAAAAGAAGTGCATATTCTATTAGTTTACCAGTCCCATTTTCATTATAGATATAGCTCTCAATATGTTTATGAAAAATTTTGATGAGTAAATTTAGTACGTCTATCATATTCACAAAATTTGAAAATAAATCAGGGGGTGTTGTATAGTGTGGATGATAAATTGGTGGGCGTGGACACCATACCCTATGGCATGAATCATTCTACACCATACCATAGTTCACAGTTGTTCTGAATCTGAATTGTGGACAAATTATGTGGACTAGATCAGTCTATACCCACAATGGCGTTTTGTAGGCGTGGTGCACATTTTGATTCCATGTATCTCATATACATTTATGAATGATATACACCAACATTTTAAAAAGTGACACGAAAATGGAACCGTTCTGGCCACCGGTTTTCGGGTTGACGGTTCGATCGTCTAGTTTGAATGGGCGGCCTGTTTTGACAAACAAATTAAAAAAATAAAAAAAAAACAGTAAAAATCCGTTGAACGGGTCGATAAGTTAATGGTTTGATTGCTCGGGTCAACAGGTTGTTGACTTTTTCAACGGGTTTTGGCCAAAAACCAAGTTTGGGGTAAAACAGAACCACTTGCTTGGATGATTCCTGGGTCAAACGGTCCGACTGTCTGGGTCAACGGTAGTTCGAAAACCTTGATCTACACAGTTAATCATAATTATCTAATTTTTGCATTTTCTATGATAAATATATTGAAAAATGCATCAATGAATTAATATTAACCAATAAATATTAATTTTTTTATAAAAACAATAGTAAAATAATTAAAATTTTAAAAAATAAAAAATAAGTAAAATAATTAATATTTTATTAACAAAATATTAAAATGTGAAACAAACAATAGGGTTTCAACCTTTGAGGGAAAGTGTGAAGTATGGAATCAAAAATCAAGTGTGGATGGTCTCTAACCACGAGATTTTTCCATGGATGAAAAATTGGGGTGTGGATGGGACCCCCATCCATAGCCTGTAGAATGGGTGTTCATCCTATGGACGAGACCGGTCTCATCCATGAGATGAACACAGTGTAGAACACCGCCTCAGTTGGAATGCTCCAAAATATGGCTATATTAAAATAGAGGGTAAATTTCTTAAACTACCCGTATGGTTTAGCTAATTGACTAAATGCACCCTTATTGTTTGAAAATTGACTAGCGCTACCCCTACTGTTTCTAACAATTGTCTAGCTCTACCCTTACTGTTAGCATCCATTAATATTTCGTCAAAACCTATACACACGTGACACCATGTGATGCTTAAAATTTTTTAAAACCCAATTTTACCCTCATCCCCTTCCTCTCGACCCAACACCCCCTTTCCTCCTTTAACCTCTCTCTCTCTCTCTCTCTTCCCTCTATCTTCCTCCGACCGTCTCCATCTCTATCAACTGCTGCACCATACCCAGAGGTTGAGGACAGTGACAACAATCAACCCAAATCTTCCCCCAACCCATGTATGTCTGATTTACAGTAAGGGTGGTCCATGGGTTGATGAATCATTGGAAATGAGCTTCAACCATGTTACAGTGATATCATCGTCTCTCTGCAACATCATCGACTTCTATATCAACGTCTTTCTCTGAGTTCATCCTCAAACGTAGAGGCCTCATGGCCCTCATCCCCTGCTATGATCAAAGTTAAAGGAGATGAAACAGATCAACAGGAGAGAGAAAACGAAGGTGAAGAAGGGGAGAGAGAGAGAGAGGGGGGGGAAGGGCGGAGTTGGAGGGGTCCGATGCTAGCGGCAGTGATGAAATAGGAGAGAGAGAACAAGGGGAAGAAGAAGAAGAAGAAGAAGAAGAAGAAGAAGGAGAGAGAGAGAGAGAAGGAGGAGCCAGACCGACGTCTCCTGAGATCTAATAGATACTTAGATCTAAGATCAGGTTCATTTTTCTCCTCATTTTCGGTTTTCAGGTAATAGCAACAGTCAATGTCTAAAGCAAGGGGGCTGGGCTCACCGGCTGCATCCTTAATCTTTGGTCCATCAGCTTATAGAACAACTCCCCTAATCGCCAATTGCATCCCCAATCTCCGATGCGTCAACTAAAGCAAGGGGGCTAGGCTCGCGAGCTGCATCCTCAATCTCTGTTCCACCTTTTCTTGTTCTACCTTCATCACAAATCATATCACCTAAGATTGATCGGCGTTGCATAAATCCCCCACCTTGCTTCATCCTAATTTGCACTTTGAGAATCGGAATGTCTTATTTGGATCATCCCCTCCCATCTCAATTGTGCCCAGATCTAGGGAAGCTAGAAAAAAATGACAAATCATGGATGAGTTTCCTGGTAATTTGGCGAGAGATTTTGGGTTCAGACCGCAAGGCAAATCGGCTCCAATGGCGGCATCCAAGGGAACCGGCAACCTCAGTAGTGGTGGAACCCTAAATTTTGGTAGCGGTAGAGAGACAGGCATCCTTCTAGAGACCAACGACAATTGATGTTGTAGTGTTTCCTTCTAGCAGAGATCGATGGTAGCTGCAGTGAATAGAGATCGGTGGCCACTCATCCAAGCTAAGTGAACCCACACATATGGGTTAAAACAAGGGATAAAAAAGTAATTTTACTGATCAATCGGGTGTTTGAGTTAAAGGGTAAAATGGACATTTTAGAATTTTTGTCCATGTTTAATGACATTGGTAAGACTTAGACAATTGTCAGAAATAGTAGGGGTAGCATCAGTCAATTTTCAAACAGTAAGGGTACACTTAGTCAATTAGCTAAACCATAAGGGTAGTTTAAGAAATTTACCCTAAAATATGGAAAATGTTTAGTGGCCTGTATAGTCCAAGATCATCTTGGTAAGGTACTTGCGATCAAAGCTTATAAACTTGGTTCTTGCTTTATCAACCAGGCTAAAGCTTGGGCTACATGGGAAGCCCACGTCCAAGCTACAAACTACAGGGAGTTTCCTATCATCATTGAGGGTGATTTGTCTCTTGTCATCTCCTACCTCAAAAGGAAGGTGGATATTCCTTGGAAGTTGAAAGGTATTGTCTCAAGTTGCTTGTGAATGAGAGATTTGACAAAGGAGGTTGTCAGTATCAACATGTTTTTAGAGAAGCAAATTAGGTTGCTGACTGGTTTGCTCATGAGGATCTTTCTTCTTCTACATCTTTAGATTTTAGTACATCATCTCTTCCCCGTTCTCTTCTTCTTATTTGTTCTGCTAACTTTTGGAACATACTACCCCTCGTTGTGTGTAGTACATTTCTATTCTTAAAAGAAAAAGAAGTGCATATTCATTAAAATACAATAAACTGAATAAATCAGATCAATTACTAAAACCAGTGTTTAGAAAACTGGACCAGATCGGCCAGTTGAACCATGACCCGAGGCCCTAATCAGTTCAGTCATACCCCAATAACTGCACTTGCTCAAAACCCACTAAAAACCGGCTGATTGGTCGGTTGAACTGGAAAATTGGTGAACCGGTCCCAGTTTCATGAAACCGCCCGGGTTCATACATAAGTGAAATTTTAGTTAACTAGATTTAAACCCAATACCTCTTATTTTCACAAATTACTTAATTACCATTAATCCACTTCTTTACTTATGCTAATTAACGACTATTTATTATACATATTACATTATTATGCATGTATTTTAAAGAAAATATAAGTCAAAAGGCTTAAACCCTAGTAATTTGTTTTAAAAATTAAGAAACTTACCATCCATCCACCATATTTAAGTACATTAAAAGTTGTAAAATATATTATATATAGTATATATATATACCACATCATCCCGGTAAATCTCTCCCTTCTTCGATTTTATGCCTAGTCTGGTTCTCTAAACAAGTACATTGACTAAAACAACATTTTCCATTGCCAATCCCAATTCAAATAATTATAAAAATGAGAACTATTCATAGCAGAACTACCGATTTTTCAGAAAATGGTTAAAATTCACTTGAATTGTGTCTGAAGTAATTTATGGGGCAAGAGAGAAGGAATTTGATGACAACATTCCTCACTCTTTTTATTTTCTTTCGCATTAGGCAAAAAACACTTATAATAGGATTATAATAATTCACTTCCAACTCCTCTATTTGCTTAAAGTCTATGTGATTGACCAGTTGAATTCATTGTAATCTTTTGGAATTGAACTATGTATTAGTTTTTATAATGGAAAATTAAAAGGTCATGATATTGACATGTTGAATCAAAGAAGAGCATATTAGAAGATTGATTGACAAATAAATTCTTATATGAACCTTTTCTAGTTCTGATAAGAAATATAACTTAACTTTATTCTTTTTCTTCTTATTCTTCTTCCACCTCACTTCTCTTTCCTGTTTAGAAGGGTAAAATAGGATTTTAAAAATTTTGAATGAGTGGTTTCATTGATGAAGGTATGTTTAAGTTCAGTGGGGTCAGCCCACAAGGTATATTTAAGTCTATTTTAAAAACTTAGGGTATGTTTAAGTCTTTTACCTGGAAAAAAATCTAGATGTTAAAACCACATTAAGGTGTTACATGAAGGTTATAAGTTTTCAAAAAAATATTTAAAATACCCTTGAAATTATGACAAATACTTAAAAGCACCCAAATGGAATAAATGATTTAAAGTACCCTTGTGGTTTAATAACTTCCTTCTATTAGTTATCTCCCATGAATTGGGATATGCTCTTTACAGAGCGCTCCTCACACCGACCTCGTAACCACATCCTATTATGTATTGGGAACATCTCCCATGAATAATAACATACAATTGCGGGAGATGTTCCCAATATATGATTGGAATATGCTATGAGATTAGCGTGAGGAGCACTCTATGAGGAGTAGATCCATACTCCTCCCCCATATTCTTTACACATGCAACACCCATGACTGTTATAATGTTTTGAAAACTTAGTATTGTCATTTAAATAGCTTATTTTTTTTGAAAAAATTATGATACTACAAAAACATAATACTAAAAAAGCTTTGATCAATCATAACCC